CATACGCTTATGAAGCCGTTAACCGTTCAAACACACTTTGCTACGCACGGACCTTGGCCGCTGGATCGCATGTAGGCTTTGTAGCTTTGCTGCTAGGACTGGAGCGTTTGCTCTCCTGATCACCAGACAGCTGTGGCGAGCATCGTGGGAGCTGTGGAACGCCACCTCTGCTGCAAGCTCCTGGCCAGCGGGAGCCATGCGCAGGGCCAGCCGACTCTGGTGAGGTCAGCAAGCGATGGGCCACCAGCATGGCAGGCTGGGGCGTTTGGCGTGCTGTTTTTTCCTGCACCGTGTTTGTTGTGCCTGTCCAGCTGCTTTCCTGCTGCCTTACCTCCCTGGAAGGCTGCAAATGACAAAGCAGCTAATCTTTGAGCTAGGGTATGGCCACTCCATGCACTTTGCCAGGACGCTTTGCTCCTATGCAATGGTCGCGCTCAACAAGATCTTGGTCCTCCTCCGCACGCTTTGGCTGGGGAGCTGGTAATCCATCTTTCCGCTCAAGAAAGGCAATTGCCTTTCGCTGGCGGGTCCTCAAGGAAAGTGGGTGCAGTTGCGCAGGTCTTCCTGAGCCGTAACAAAGGCGAAAGTTTGGCTGGGATCTATGATCAGCTTGGAGCGTCGCTGAAAGAGGCAGCGCAGGCATTGAGCCTCTCCAAGCCTAAACTTCTGCCCTACGAGCTGCCTCAGCTTCCGATTCCCGTTTCCGAAGACTTTGAGCGCCTGGTGCAGATGTGCGGGCAGAAGACCCCTGGGCAGGCCACCACCTTGGTGCCCAGCCGGCAATTCGCCAAGCCGCCGAGCTTCCCACAGCCAATGGCGGAGGGCCAGCTTTGCAGCCTCAATCCCGCCGCAGCAGCATGCTTTCAGCGCTGCTTGGAAGAAGCGCAGCACCGACTCAAGGGCGACCTAGCAGAGCCGACCAGGTACTTGCACAGTGTCCCTGCGCAGCAGGGCGGGGAGATCACTGTGGATGGCTTGATACGCTACTTTGCACAGAAGAGCATGGACCTTTATGAAAGGAAATCACAAGGCGCAATGTTTGGATATTTCTTTAGCATGGTCATTGATGTCGCGCTGGATCCTTGCTTATTGCAGCTGCTCTTTTCCTTTCTGGCTTTCGCGCCCAAGTGCGCACTCAACTTCAGCATCATTGCGTTTGACAGGCGCAGCCAAGGCTGCGCAGTGTTGAAGGCTCCAGGGCAGCGACTCAGTGCTGATGAGCGCGCTGCTGTCGTGGCAGCTCTTGCCAGCAGGCACCTCCGATGCGACCAAACACTTCCCCCGGGATACGGGCTGGTAGCCGCGTTCAATCGTGCCGTGGAAGATTGCCGCAAGCAGGCGCAATCCTCGCGACACACGCGCGTGCTGCTGTTGACCAGCAATCCGGGCGCATGCGGACCCACTCAGTGCCTGGCTGAGACGCAGGCCAAGGCCTGCAAGGACTCTACAGCATGTTTCGTGGTGACCACTCATCCCTGCGAATGGTGCATCGCTGGCTTGGGCATAGAGCGTGCAATGATGTACACGGGCTGTGTGAGCAGTTGCTTGGCCAAAGTCTTTGTGCTGGAGCCACCCAAGCTGCCACTTACTCAAAGATGCCTGCCGACTCCCAATCAGTTGAGGGAGCCTGAGATGTCCAGCTGGGCAAAAACCTTGGGGCAGGCGTTTCAACCACGTCCGGTGGACACCTCAGGCACAGGCCCAGCGGGTGTGATTCTGCATGCCGAGACCATGGACTATATTCCCGCTGGCTCGATTTCCGGGCGAGTGGCTGCAGACACCACGGGGGATCTGTTGGAAGGCGGGCCTGTTAAATGGAAACTTATAATAGGAACTCCAGAGTTTTGCAAGCTGACGCACATCCGGCCGGCCAAGCTCGGCATCAGGCAACATGCTTGCGCGCGGGCGCGTGTCGCGCAAACAAACTTGCTTATTTTCGCAGGCAGGCGCACACCGATACAGACACAGCGCGCGCGGAGGCGCACCCACCCACCCACCCACCCACCCCCCTGCCACCCACACACACAAATAGAAATATATATATATATATTCAAATACACATTCACATTCACATTACATACACAGACACAGACACAGACACAGACACAGAGAGAGAGAGACAGACAGACAGACAGACAGACAGACAGACAGACAGACAGACAGACAGACAGACAGACAGACAGACAGACAGACAGACAGACAGACAGACAGACAGACAGACAGACAGACAGACAGACAGACAGACAGACAGACAGACAGACAGACAGACAGACAGACAGACAGACAGACAGACAGACAGACAGACAGACAGACAGACAGACAGACAGACAGACAGACAGACAGACAGACAGACAGACAGACAGACAGACAGACAGACAGACAGACAGACAGACAGACAGACAGACAGACAGACAGACAGACAGACAGACAGACAGACAGACAGACAGACAGACAGACAGACAGACAGACAGACAGACAGACAGACAGACAGACAGACAGA